TTTCTACTCATTTTATCATACTTTAGTTTGTACTTGTTGATTATTGAAAGCTAGTTACTATATTGATGGATTAAGATTTCGATTCCAGATGTATTAGGGAAGAAAATTTGTTAGTACTGCCTAAATGGAATGGGTGGACTTAGAACCCGCTGATTCTGGGAGTCCTGCGTTGAAGCTAATGTTAGAAGAAGGGTATAGTATCTTCCGGATTTTGTGTATGGGCTTCTGTCGATCAAAACTGCTGTGAATCTTAAACAGATAGCTTCGTGGTATTATAGTCCGTTGCCTTAGGACAGGCAACTAATTTATTAAAGAACTTTCTTTCTTACTCCTTTTTTAATTACTGTTCTTACAATATCAAATCCTGAATTTTTATTGATAAACATTTGCCCAAATCATGCATTACAATCAGTGATAGTATGAAATATGAAAAAAAAATTAATATATTTCTTATTCGACATTTAATTTGCAATTTTAAGAACGATATTTAATAGTTTTTCTGTGAAAAAAGCTGTTGAAAAATTGATGATGAAATGGTGGGCGTATTTTTTTATTTTAACTAGACAGATGGAAAATTGAGTTGCGCAAATGAGACATAACGAAATTAAGTTAAATATAGAACGCTTGTTATGGGAGAGGCGAGAGCGCAACATGGATTATCCCACTTACGGTCGACGATTGGATGCATTTGGTATTGTGTTTTAATGCCTTTTAAAAGTAATTTCGGTAGATTGCGAAAACTACCGCAGAGTTGACCTCTCCCCTTCCTGTGCGATATCTCATGAATACCATTCTCTTCAAAGAATGGTATTTTTGAAGAATAGTTAGTTCAACGGGACATCGCAAATCATGAAAAATTAGCATTTTGGTGCTGCAAATGTACCAGAGGCCAAAAGTTGCTCAAAGGAATAGCGGTTTCTTGTTCAAATGTAAGATTGTTCGCCTGCTTAACTTTTGTTCATTTTGAGATGCATGAGTTTTTATTTTAGTTAATTCGCAACTAGAATCATCGATCTTGATTTGCCATGTTTTACAAAGCGATATACGTTGTTCTGTACTAAAAGGTTTTCCATATCATCAAGACGTATCTTTGAATGATTGTATTGTTATTCTTCTACAAGTATATAGTATTAAACTTATATGTATAGTTTGTCCAAAAAAAAAAAAAGTATTCAACTTTACTAATTAATGTCTTTAAAGTTACATAAAAGCATATTTCTGATTGTTTATTGTTAACATTCTTTTATTGTAGTCTTTAACAAGGTTTATACTAGTTATTCAATAGAAAATCATATTTCAAAAAACAAATTTGATTAGGATAAAAGCGAACTTTCTTGTAAACGACCTGTTTTTATAGCCCAAAACGTATTCGACTCTGGCCAGTAATAGGTCGTTTGAAGGGTCACAAAGTTTTTAAATTAACACCTGAAAACATTCTTAAATGTTACAAGAGTATTGCCTGAAAGTTATTTGAAACTTTGAGGCTTGAATCATACTCATTTCTGCAATTTTAAACGGAAAATTTAAAAATTTTATTTTAAACGGAAATTTGAAAATGTCTTGGGAAGGAAAAGAAACTACAATTAAGGAAAACTGTAATTAAGATGAAATCATATGTGAGACTATTGCTCAAACTATCAAAAGACCACTTTCAACTGTAAAATACATAGTAAAAAGGCATCTGGAGTCAACAAATTTTGTAGGCAGGACAAGGAAAGGACAATCAAAAACAAGAAGGGGGGGGAAGTTGAAAAAGATCCGAACATTAAGTTGCCCAGAATTGAAACTACTGATTAAGAAAGAAGCTTGTACCCCTTAAAGAGTTTGTTTACGAAGGATGATCAGCTCGAAAACAATATTACATGTCTAAAGTCAGTAGAAAGAAAGGGCTATCATTTGCGAAAAAATATGTAAGCTAGACCCTAGACTTTTGGAAAACAGTTATATTTAGTGATGAAAGTAAATATAACGTATTTGGAGCAAATGATAATCGTAAGGTATAGAAACAACGAAATAAAGGATTTGAATTGAAAAATCTCTGGCATAACCATGGAGGACGTTCCGTTATGGTTTTGGGGGTGCACGTCTTATGGAGGTGTAAAGAAACTACGTTTATCAATGGCATAATGAACCATAAGGTGTATATTAACATACTGAAAACAAATTGACATGCCAATGTTCAATTTATGGTATTATCGACAGATCAGCATAATGATCTGAAGCATAAAGTGCTAAACACCAGACTGGCTGTTGCAGAACACACCAAAAGTTCTTGAAACACCCCATAGGCACCAGACATAAATCCGATGGAACATTTTTGAGAAGAATTAGGTCAAAGGGTCAGAAATAAAGATACTACAAAAAAGAAGTTAAAACAAATTTAGGGGAAGAATGGTATAAAATACAAAGTGATTACACTAAAAACAACCTGTAAGCATGCTATCTAGACTAAAAGCCATAAAGTGTAAAAGGAACATAGTACAAAATATTAATTATAATGTAAATCCTTTTTTGTTCTCATTTTTGAAAAATACTAATAAAGTCTTAACACGTACTTCTTGAACCAATACTATGAAATAAGTTCATTTAATTTCTTTGGAAATGTGCATCAGGCATATCTTCGTTCTGTGATTTTCACATTGTACAAATAAAATTTCTAGTTCGTTGTTTAATGTTTTCAATGACAGATTGTTTAGATCGATCGAAGGTCGAATACGTGTTAGAATAATCGTAAATACACATCCTCGCCGATCATCTTTCTTCTTTTAGAAACTTCATTTCCTGTTTTCGCTAAATATGTTCCCACAAGTCAAAATTTATTCCGATGCAGACACACTTAGCATTAGAAATGACATGCTGATATCTATATTTTATAGTTTACTCATAGTTGAAACTTCAAAAACTCACGGATAATTTAGCGAAATAAATTTTTATAATAGCCATATTTTTATTTAACGAAAAAAAAGTTTCTGCGCAAGATGAAGGGGGGAAAATTATGAAGAAATAGGATTTAATCTGTAAAATGCCAACACTGAATTACTAGTCTTTAATTCTTTCTATCCAGCCAGATGTTGAATCTGGCAATAGACGAAAAAACACAAGTTTGAATTTTCTATTAAACTAGAATTTCAGGAAATATGCACATAGTAGAATGTGTCTCCATATCATTTGCAAGCTTTCTAGAGAATGAGTATGCATTCAAGTCAGAAATTCGCCCTGTACATGTATAGTTGTAGAAATGAATACTAGAACGTCATAAAAAAAGACGTACTTTTACCCTTTACTAGAAACAGATGTATGTAAATTATTGGTAATTTTATTGTTAAATACTTTCTGTTCAGTTGAAGAGTCCGATGTACACTGTTGAAAAAAGGGGGGACAATTCTATATATCTCGTTCTACTGGGCCAATTGATAAAATTCAAGTTGCATTTTTCGTGTCTCGAAAGCGCGACTTAGGATATATATTAGATTTTATATAGCATTGTTCTAACATAGGTATTTTGACACAAAATCGAACCTTTTCTGAAATAACATAACAATTTTTTTCCATATTTCGATTGTACGACTCAAATTATGCCTAGATATGAAATTTTGTAAAATTTGGTGAGAAGTTTACGGAGAAATTCAAAAACGTATCTTGGCGCATTTTTTTTTTCACAGTTTGCGCCAAAAATAATTTACTTGGCGAACTATTTTCCTTTCCCTTCCATTATGGCGGAGAGGAAAAAAAGGCATCTCGTTCCTGTCTTTTTACATAGTGCATTAGCGGAAAAAAAGTGACATCGTTTCCACTTTCAAATAATTTTAACAAAGTGTCTGAACCACATTTGATGTTTTATTGCTTTCAACAAATATGCAATATATAAATTGACGCCAAAAAAACGCGCCAATATATAAATTGACGTATATCTTCAGAAATTTTGAATAAAAAACTGTAATTTTTTGCAGGTGTGCTTAGAAATACGTCTACTTTAAGATAGTGGTAAAAATTTATAGATTATATTCAAAATGTTTTGAAAATTTATAAATTATTAATGCAATTTAAAAAATAAATCATAAAAAATGGGTGACTTTTATTTGGAATACCGATTCGAAATGTGAAAGGAGATCAAATAATTAATAAAAACGAGAGATTAATAATCTATACCAAACTCATTTCATGAGGAGCTTTTTTTTAAGAAACTACTAGCAAGATTTTTACAAACTTGGTAGTTGGCGTAATTTGAGTCTTAGAATTGAAATATGGAAAAAAATTGGCATGTCATTTCAGAAAAAATCCACTTTTTGTGTCAAACGAAACTAACCTATATTAGAACAATGCTGTATATAAATCTAATACATATCCTAGGTCGCGCTTTCGAGACATGAAAAATGAAAGTTGAATTTCGTCAATTGGCCCAGTAAAATGGGAGATATATATTGCGCTCGCAATGTACTTAACGCAGAGCATTCAAATTTGTCAGTGTACTCTTTATTTACGAGAAATACGTTTCTATATTTATGTGGGTATGTTTTTAATTTACAGTAGTAAAGATTATTTTTTGCTACATTTTCTCTGGTTAATTAGAAATTTTGTTTAAATAAAATTTTTTGATTGTTCAGATTCATTTCATATTTTATTATCATCATCTCTCAAATGTTTTTATGTGCGAATGTAAAATTTTTCTGCATTAAGCTTTGCATTGATTGATTTAATGTTAATTGTCATTTTAGCCTCAGAATCTACTACTGACAAAGCCCTTTCCTGATTGCGAAGTGAAACTGTGTGACTTCGGTATCTCGAGACTCATTACCAAAGGCATTGAAATTCGTGAGATAGTTGGAACACCCGATTATGTAGGCAAGTATCTTTTGATTATTGGAAATTCGAATTTATTATTTTGGTAAATATCAGGCTGAAAGTAGAGAATATCCTTTTATTTCCATCAAATTATTTTTTGATAACTTGTTGGAAATCCTGATGATTATATTGGTAAGTATCAGCCTAAACGTAGAGGATTTAGAGAAATAGATTGAATTATTAAGCTACATTTTCTGTTGCTTATTTTGTATATAGGCCCACCAGCGGGCAAGCGGGAAAGTCGCTGAACGCTGGTAGTTCAGTCCGAGGTTCGAATCCCGCGAACGGGCTGGCTGCATGGAGGTTTTCGTGGTTTTCCCCATGTGTAACATGTATACGAGATAGTTTCCCTTAGAAAGTCCTCCACGAAGGCATTCCTCCCCTTAGGTAGATAGCCCTCAAGGCTTTGCCATAATCACACACAATATTGTGTATATATATATTTTGTTAGAAGAATGTGGTCAGTTTCCTTCATCTCTTGTTGTTCTCTTGAATATTATTATTACTAAATATATCCAAACATGCTGAAGAAGTACGCAGTTACCGTTACGCAAGCAGTTGTTGTGCGAATTAGCATTCAAAGGGAAATATTCAATTGCTCTATATTCTAAAATATATATTTATTCTCTGTGTGTGGGGGGGCTTAAAATAGACATGCAGTCTTTTGCATTGTGGAAGGAAAAGGCGAGGGATAGTTGCATCAAAATTAACATGTAGCATCTTTAGATGATAAAATGTATTGGTTTGTTAATTACGAGGACTGACCTTGCCCGCCTGTCCACGAAGTGACTCTATGACACATGATTGATTATTCCTGGGAAATGGTGTTTTATTTCGTATATTCTGCTCCACTTTTTTTGGGGGGGGAGGGGAGGGGGTATTCTCATGCATTAACTGCTATGCATTTTGTCACCTAGTGCCTCCTGAAATTTAAAAATTTGGCGTTTGTAAGTTTGACTGTATGATAACTATCATTTCAATTAACCTGACAAATATTTTTAAATCTTACTTCCTTAAAAGCAGCAGAAAATTGCAGAAACGAAAACTTGTGTATATCTTAATCACAAAAGCACTATATCTAAACTTGGCACAGAAACTACGAATATGCCCTGGGGAAAAATGTAAAGCTCTGTGAATATATTGTTAGTACTGATATGAACAAATTATTATATATTTCTCGGTAATTGGTATCAGCAGTATATTTTGCAAACTTCCTTTACTGTTACTATAACAATCAATAGTAATAGTTACGTAATAGTAAGACTTTCCTTACTATTATGATAACAATCATTCTGACTTACTGTTTGGTATCTTCACAAGAACTGTAGGTATCCTTTACATCAGGTTCATGATGTCACAGAAACCCATCAAATTCAGTCATCCTGTACAAATAATCAGTAGGCCGTGATCTTTATTTTTGGTCCTACTTGGCCACTATTCATTGTAATAAGTATTCTAGAACTCATAATGACTATATCTTTGTTAAAATGATCTGTCATTTGGCAACAGTTTCAGTGCTGTTTATGAATATCAGTTACTGTATGAGCTGTTTATATTTCTCAAGTACCTTCACATAAAATTAAAGAAAAGAAATAAAAAATCTTTATTCAGATAATGAAGTAAGCTGACTTTAGGGCAAGGTAGCGATCCCATCCAGTGTAACCTAAGAATTTTAAATCGACTTTAGCTTTTTTTTCATTCTAGAGCTGGTTATTTCTTTCTTTTCTTTAATTACAGTGGCCATGTTATGTTTTGAAATATTCCTTCTAAGTGCAGTTGAAGATATCATAATTACCAGCAATATCGGTTTTGAATTCACTGAATGAAAATTATTTAGTATATGTTGTCTATGAAGTTCAAAAACTTCTGTGAATAATAAAACAAATATATGGATTTTTGGATTTTTTTTTTTTTTTGCTTACACGTGGTTAAAGAAGCAGCCGTGTGCATGGAAACTCAGATATAAGTAATGTTGTTATCAGTCTGCTATGAAACTGCATGAATAACTTTTTTATGGTAAATAAATGTAACTGAAACTGTGGTGCCCTAAAGAATAAGCTTGCTTGAAATGAAATCAAATGAATTAACTTAGCTTTCCTTGTAATTCCTTTTTGGCAGGAATTCAGCTGACGTCGATCTTATCTTGCTAGGTTTTTAGGCCTGTAGTGATTAATATCTGCACTTTAAATGTCTAAACGAAGATGTACGTGGGGTCTTGGGTCACACGATTTCTTCGCTAACCATATAAGGAAGATTTTGTGGAATAGCAAACACAGGTTTATTTCAAGCTGGTGCATGTATTTCAAATTATCTTTGTTAAACTATTTTGTAAATTCTACATCGACTTTATTTGTAAAAGTATACCGAAAGTTTAAAATTCATTCTTAGTGCGGCCTTGAATTTTCAAGGCTTAAAAGATTCATGCAAAGAAAAAGTTTACCAAAAGCTTAATTTTGAATAATATTGTTAATATTTTAAAATCCACAATGGTGAAAAGTATGAAAGTATGCATGAATTATATCCTTAGTCCCCTTCCCCCCAAAAGAAGTTATTTATTTTCAATACTTTGCCATTAACTGCAAGAAAAGGCCTGATTGGGTTGCATTTGACAGTACATCATGCATGCTATAAAAGGTGGTGTATTTTGTTTTTTCCTGGTTAGTTAATCGTCACAGCAAATAGCACGATTTTACATTTGCGATATTTTAATTCTACTGTTACTTAAAAACAACTCATATGGATATTATATTTATATTTGGGTATATTTTGTACATCTGTATATTTTATGTACAAAAAAATTAAAGTTGTAGTTTATATTTATAACTCCTCTTCCTGGCAAAAGAACAAAAATTTTATCTACTTGGCATAGATGTTAAAGCTCCCGCTAATGTGTATTCATTTTATTACAGCGCCGGAAGTGTTGCACTATGAGCCTATCAGCTTGCCCACCGACATGTGGTAAGTGTTTCTTAAGATATTTCCTCTTTTTAGATAAAAATGCTTTTTACCGAGTATATCTCTTCTTCAGATTGGAAAGTCGAATTTAAAAATCATTTATAATGAATTCAGCACTGCACAGCTAGCATTACAGTTAGTTCAATCAAATTGGAAGAGAAACATGCTATGGTAAAATTTAAAACAGGCAAAAAAAGCAACCTTAGTTTAGCATAGATTTTGAATTTGACTCCATAGATTTTGAGCAGTGGACCGAGCATAACTGCGCCTGGGGCAAAATACTTTTTTGGTGCCCCCTTTCCCCGAAAAAAACACAGTGATATGATGAAAATCTTGTTTGGAGCATAGACCTGTTATATACTAGACGGAGCATCGCCATTCAAAACCGGGTGAAAAAGTGGCACAGGAATGAGCTGCAGGAGTTTGGGCATGAAATGGAACTGAATCCAGATTTTGGCGTACTATCGCCATGGCGGCGATTTTTTTTCTTTTTTCTTCTCAGTTCGAATGCGACTTGGAAGACGTCATTTCGCAGAAGCTGCCGTTGAATTTGCAGAAGAGGTTATCGATAAACACCAGCCAAAATTAATAATTTCCCTAAAATTGAACACTTTTATTTTAAATTTAATTTATTTAAATTTTAATTTTGAAATTTAAATAATATTCATGCTAGAATAATATTTTGCAATATGTCCATCGGCGTCTACCAAATTTTAAAATAAAATTAAAAAAACTGGAGAGAACAAACAAATAATAAACTAATAACTAAATAATAAATAATAAACTAATAGCAAACTAAAAAATAAATAAGTAAAATAAATAAATAAAAAGAAGGCTTTTTAGTACTCAGGACAGAATAAAAAATATAAAAAATAGATAACATAAGAAGAATGAGTGAAAACAGAAAATAGTACAAAAAAAGGAAATTTAATATTAATACAAAGGAATTAATACGAAAAGGAAATTTAACGTTAACATGGTGTATTACAGAGAACTACAGAAGTAGGCAAATCAAAGTGAGAAAGATATTAAATTAAATGAACTAAAAATGAATGTCAATATAGCAGATACAAGTTAAAAGGAAGAGAGAGAGGTAAATAATAATTATGAAACAAAAAAGTGATAAATTAAGACTTCCTTTTACTAGCAAATAATATAGTATATATATGCACGTTGCACAATGTAGTCGCACTGATTTTAAATAATTTTAGAAGGTATAAAATTTAAATAATGTTCATTATTTTTAAAAAGAAACTTAAAATGATTAAAGTTTTGAAATTTAACTGCTATATAATGACTATTATCTTAATACTTAACAAATTCTTAATATTTGAAAATAAATGCCCAGAAACATGATATAAGAAAGAAAATACGTGATTGAAGGTAAACAAATTTGTTATATTTGGATGCAAGAAAAGGATATGAATAAAGTCATTCATGTCCCCCCCAAAAAAAAACATAATTTTATGCAGTTCTTACACAGTGTTACATCAACATTACCAAGTATTAAATACATACATTACTACTTCGCACATGTCCGCATGAGCAAACGCAAAGAATATATAAACAAACGCATTCAAAGCAGTCTGTTGGCGTATAAAAAATGTCGCCAAAGCAGAATACTAGACTAATTAAAATTATATTGTATTACTAAAATTTAACATTTTTTTCAGAAAACAGTTATTAGAAACATACATATATATTAAGATACTTTTATTTAAATGTTATTTCAAGTATGCATATATTATATAAATTAGAAAATCTATTTTTTTTTTATTAGAAAAAGGCAAGTAGAGTGGATAAAAAACCCTCTACATTTTATAGAATTAGGTTTTAAAACATTAGAAAAAGCTCAGTTGTGAAATGTTACTCCTCCATCTTTCACATATCTGGAATTACATTCATATGCGGAGCACGAAAGTATCATTTTTGAAGTCCGAAGCAATGCGCTTACACGCAAAACACTTGCTTCTCACAAATTCTCCATAGAACTGTAATGGTAAGGAAGATTCGCGGGAAATACGATCTGGGAAATGTACCAAATGTCACGTGGTTCGTTCACGTGTTCCCCTTCAGGGTTGCCGTTTCTCTCTCTAGTACATTACAGCTCTATGGTTTGGAGACCATTTGGTGCCCCTCTGTGAGCGGCGCAGAGGGCATCATACACCCCCTTGTCCCCCCTCGCTATGCCACTGATTTCGAGGGCGATTAGACACAGGTCTCTCTTCTTTAAGCGGAAAGGGAGAGAATTGCCTTTATCCCTTTCGAAGTTCATTGTTTAGAGTTAAAATAATCGACAAGTGTTGTAGATTAGACAAATCTAACAACTGGCACTACGCCACTGATTTCGAGGGCGATCAGACACAGGTCTCTGTTCTTTAAGCGGAAAGGGAGGGAATTGCCTTTATCCCTTATAAAGTTCATTGTTTAGAGTTAAAAATAATCAACAAGTGCTGTAGATTAGACAAATCTAACAACTGGATTATAAATGATAAGTATACTTGTGTTTATTTGTAATACTGAATTAACAAAAATTCCTTTTACAGCCCTCATCACAGAAAAATGATAAAATGCTTTGTCATAATTTGTGGTTCTTTTGATTCGATAAATGACGCTACGGTTGTTGCATCTCCCCTTTTTTGTTAGTTATATTGCCCATTTAAATTACTTATTTCCTGTCTATGATACCGAATTATTGCTCCGGGAGGGAAAAAAAATAGTGCCATTCTCCCCTAAAATGCACACATGTCTCTGTGTGCATTTTACCTTCTAAATAATTAAACTAAGCGAGATTGAATTCTGCATAAGTGAGATGTATAATTTAAAATTTCAGGTAAACTTCAGTTGGGAGAGTGCGAGGCTGGCTTTAGTGATTGTCGACAAGTTTCCTGTTTCAATATCAAAACAAATGATATTTAAATGATTTAGTGCCATGATATTATTTTGCCAGTAGTTGCTAATTTGATATTTAACTGAAAATTAATCAAAAAGTTTTATTGGTGTGTTTATTTTTTCTTGTATTATTTTAAATATTAGTTTGTAAATACAAGTTTATGTTCGAGATCATAGTTTTACAGAGCATATGTCCATCAAATGATTCATTTCAAAATCAAAATCAGAAATTTAGAATTTGTAAAACATTCTCCCCCTTTTTTTGAAGAGAAGAGAATGATGCAGCTTCTTTAGATGCAAAAGAAATTTAATAGTTAAATGCTAAGGTACCTAGATAAAATTTGCCATTATTGGTTCCAAGATATTTAGAGGGATTTTTAAATTGTATATGCTAAATTTCAGATTACATATCACAGCCAAACTTAAAATTTGAATAATGCGAGTGATTTTTATAAAAGATGTAATGAATTCTGATAAAAATTTCCCATCGTGTATTATTATTTGAATGTTGTATTGTAAAACAATTTGTTTTATCTCATTTTTTTCACATTAATACATCTGATTTAATTTGAATTTATTATATTATAGGAGTATTGGTATTTTGACATATGTGCTTCTGTCTGGTCATTCACCATTTGGTGGAGATACAAAGCAAGAAACTTTCTGCAACATTACTAGAGGAACTCTTGAATTTCCACTAGATTTATTTGATACCATTTCGAACAATGCAAAGGATTTTATTAGGAGATTACTTGTGAGGAACCCAAGGTAAGACGAATACACAGTACTCTTAACCCCCCGAGCGTTAGGGCTTTTTCAGGAAACTGCATAAAAAATAATCGTGTGTACTTACCAGGTCTGTCGCAAAAACGGCAAGTATTTTTACTCTACTTCAAGAGTGGGCCCCCCTTACCATGTGGATATAATTAAGCTAATTCTCCCCTCCGTTGAATTTAGCGAGTGAAATTAGTTTTTCTCCCTATGGTACCTTCATCACAGGACTGTTTGCTAAAATGGTATTTTATCTCCTATTTGGCTACTTTATAATTTGCATATTGACACATATGCTGTATATTACTCGTACCTTAATCAAGATATGTGCCGAATACAGAAAGTTAGTCAATATACATCAGTAAGAGAAACTACATAAAATGCTTTAAATTTCCAGTTTCTTTAAGGAATTGCTTCGATAATGGTGAAAAATTAATCTAGCATTTTTTATCGCTATTTTCTGAGAAAATACTTTTTAATATACAAAGGGAATTTGTGAGAATTTTTTTCTCTCATGTTCCGATTTTTCGAATACAAATTATTCGCAACTTATTTTAATATTATATTTATTTAATTTTCAAATATTATAGGTTCATTCCAGTTTAAAGTATTAGATTTAAATAATTCTTTAGATTGCATCATAAATTTATTAGTAGTTAGTTATTTATGACATCGTTTTGAGTTGTGAGAAATAAATATTGTAATCGCAAAAAATTTTGATTTTCATATTTCAAAGGAAATTTCCATTTTGACTAGTTCATCATGACGTTTACAGGTACATATGTCACATAACTTAACTTCAACATAAAATGTTGAAATTTTATATTTGGGACTTATGACTAGTTTTAGTGCGACCGTATGTCCATACGTATGTATGCTTGTATATGACATAACTAAAAAACGGTTAACCGTAGAATGTTGAAAGTTTCTGTATGGGATTGGTATAACATCTAATTGTGTACCTCCCTTTTTTATTGTAATCGGTCGTGCCAAAGGAGCATTTTTAAATGGAAGCTCATACCTCATTTTCGAACGAAATAGGTTTAAATGAAGTTCAGCAAAAATTGTTTTTAATTTATTTGGCGTACAAGGAAGTCATGTGGTGCTCGCATCAGATTTTTTAAGATGTTTCAAAATAAATAAATATATGGTTTGAATATCAAATGATCTCAAATATATGAGCTTTATTTGTTATAAATATTTTACAAGAAAAATAAGAAGTGATCTAAATAGCATATCTTGAAGAGAAACACATGAAATACATTTTTAAAGCAAAATTTAAAGAATAAGTGATTAAATTTTCTTTAAATCCCTTTTTTAAAATATTACGTATGAAACCAGATATTGTTTTCAGAAAGACAGTTTGTAGAGTGATTAGGTTTTTTTTTATGCTAAGGACGTGAAAAATTAGCAATGCCCTCGCCGGGATTCGGATGCAGTGAGAAGTAAGAAAATACCTTATATACTCCGCCTTTTAAAGGCCGACTGGAGATTAAGAGACCCAAATGCCAAATCCTGGTGGTGAAGAATCATCATCCATCCTTCCTTTTTTTTAGTTAATAATAATTTAGAAATACAATTATCTCTGTGTGAAATACAATTATACAACGTAATCACTCTACAAATTGAACGTGTAAAATATGTCAGTATGGCATATGCAAACAAGTAAAATTATCTCATTAGTGTTAGGGATGTTGAATGCTAAACTTCCTTTAAAAAGGCAGCAAAACATTAAACTTCCTTTAAAAAGGCGGCAAAACATATAAGTTTTAGGTTTAGTTTATTTGATTACAGCAAAGCAAGAAAGTATTATCTTACTAATGAAAGTATGTCTTCGGGGAGAACTTCCCAAGGGAAATTGGCTGGTATTGACGTTATACAGAAGAAAAACCACCGAATCATCCATGGAGTCAACCTGTTTGCCTGAACTTGAGTCTGGGTCAACTACCAGTGTTCAACGATATTACCGCTCAACCATTGGCTAGCCCATATCTATTTAGGAAAATGTGACTTTGCGTGCTATGTTAAATTTTTAAATCTATGTGACATGCAAATTATTTAGCCGATGCAATGTAATAGCAAATTCTTTAATGACTTGATTCTTGTAGTTTTCTACAAAACTGGGTCTTCTGATGGCCAACTGGATAAGACCACAAAATCTAATCCTTCGATACGGATTCGAATCATGGCGTACAGCCTAACTACATAGGAACTTTTTAGGATTTCTCTGTGTGAAATACAAATATGACCCAAGTTTCCTTTCAGAATCTTCCACGAAAGCATTCCACTTCTTAGTCAGATGATTCAGAATGTTTCATCGTTTTCAATTAAAACAAACAAGCTTCTTAGGAAGTACGACGTAGAAGTATACATTAATCATTTATTTTTTCCAAAATATTCTTATTAAAAATCTATTTAACAATGATTATATTGTTTATATATCCTAGTAAATTATGAATATTTGTTTAGTCTCTTGTTATCTCTGTTTTTGTGTATTATAAAAATTCAAGCATTCAAAATTTTGCACAAAAATAAATTTTTTCCTTAGTAACAAATATAAGGTTTGCAGTCGAAATTATTTAAGATAAATACAATGTTGTTTTTTCACAGCAACAGTATGCTTTGGCTTATTTGGCTAATGTAAAGCGTACTAGGGCTATCTGTCTAAAAGGAGGGATGCCTTCGTAGGAGGACTTTTTAAAAATTCAGGATTAGTATTCTATTATTTCAATGCCAAAATGCCTCCTGAAATCTTTGGCATAAATATTAAAATTTTAAAGTCCTAAATCATAGTAAATACAGTTTCTGAAATTTCTTGCTGTAGGACTAATGTAAAAGTTAAATTTCGTTACTTAGTGCATGTAGATAAAATGATTTATATAGCATCTAGATATAATACAACATTTTTTGGATTGAAAAGGCGACCATCAGTTTAGAATCAACAAGTTGAAAAATAATACAACATAATATCCATTTGGAAATACATTCCATATAATTTTCAAAGTTAAGATGCCCAACAAATCATATAATGCTGTCGTGCTGGTACATTTATAAAGCCTTACCCGTTTTTGCCTTGCGTTCTCTGGTGGTGCAAATAGTAGCAGATCCAACTAGTAGACTGAAAGATCTATGATTTGAATTTCAGTCTTTAAGAAAGGAGAATATATGGAATTAACAGCATGTCCAGCTGAGTAAGTTTGAAAATTCATGATTGTGTTCAAGGCCTCATCAATGGCCGAACAGACCTCTGAATACTGGCAGTTTGGCCTGGTTTGAGTTCGATCTCAGGCAAACGGGCTGACTGCATGGTTGGTTTTTCTATTGTGTAATATGCTAGCTTTCTTCAGAATATCCTCCATGTATGCAACCCTTCTCTTAGGTAGATAGTCTTCATAGCTTTCCCATATTTAAAAAACCGAACCGACCATGACTGTGATCCTGCCGAGTGCGTTGTTAAGTTTACCTGTTTCATGACTTTATGCATGCTAATGGATTCTATATGTTATTATTATCAATGAATTCCTCTCAGGATGTTATCAAAAAATGTATTAACAGTGCAGACTTTTTGAAGATATTTTTCTTTCTGAGAAAAGTGCTCGGTTAAAGATGGATTTCGAATTCGAAATTTTTATCATATTCGGTTAGTAAATTAATTGATATAAAGTTATTAATGTTACTACTTAGTTATCTATGCTTTCATTGGAAACCCTTTAAGGACATATTATAATGCTGAAGTTATTTTTGTTCTTTTTTAAAGTTCCTCTATGCATTATAATATTAACAAGTAAAGCTATATTTGCATTATTGCTGCCTTACAGTACTTATATTAAAGAATAAAATAAGCACTGTAAGCTTTAAAATATTTTGGAAGAGCTAGACAGAAATTATGTGAAAGGAAGTGAATCCAGTTTTCATTTTTACAAACTTTCGTATAATGTGTCAATTTATTTTAAGCCATTTTAATCAGTAATTACAACTTAATATTGTCTCAAATGAAAAATAATGAATGGAAGCATTCACAATGCTCAAACGCAGCATATGTAAAACGGTACAAGATTTTGCTAGGAACCTTTGTTAGGAGAAAGCAACTGATTGAAAGCATGTGTTCAAATTATCACATCTGCCATTTATGTTGTGAGAAAAGGTACGTCTTTTGTATGCTTATGTTTAAAAACTTGTTTTTCCGTTCCGTAAATAAAGCAGTCCCCCAGGGGTGTAATTACTCTTTTGGCGACAAATCTGAACTACTGCAGTTCTGCTTCAAAATCGCGAACTGAATGTACCTATGATGATTTTACTGAATGATCAAAGCCATCTGTTATAGTGAACCATTTTAAGCTTTCCTTTAAACATACAGAAGGTTACAAGTACAGGTTTTTTACACATCTACAGCTATTATTTTTTAATCATTGTCATTTAACATAAATGTAAAATCAATCAATATTTAGTCATTCCTTCACGTAGCATGTCAAAAAAAATTTCTCCCAAGTCAAATGTTCATGGTTGAAGTTGCTATGTGTATTTCTTTAATTTAAGCTATGGAAGTTAAAAACACGGCGATCATCTGCGTATGTGAAACAAAGTTATAGTAAAATACTTGATCTCTAATACAAAAGATTAAATTTAAAAAGTTGTGTTTTGTCTAAAATAATGATCTCTTGCAAAATTTTTCCATAATATGTGACGATTTTCTCTAGCGGGACAAGCTTTTTTTTTACTGCTTAAACCTATAAATCTTGGGCATAAGGCTCAGATTTTACGATCAGTTCTTGCTGACTAAAGAATGTAGTACTTTGATAAAGAAATTAAAATAAGGTTAGCTTTTCTTATTTCGGTAATTCTAAATATTTTTAGAATTGGACTAATCCAAATTTTATTCAAAATCATCTAATGATTCGAAAAGGTTCTTCAGATTGCTGATGAAGTTATTTAAAAGGAAACTGTATTTGATATGTTAATCAAGTTAAAATATCATTGCAGCTGTCTAGACAACATTC